CAAAATTCAAACAGTGACTTGTAAAAAACAAAACAAACAAACAAAAAAATCCATTAGCTTTAATTTTTGTAGTTTTCCAGAATGTCCTCTGGGAAGAGGGAAGGCAACCCTTAAGAATGTAATTTAGTTTTAAAACTGAATTCACTGGAGCAAACCTACCTTATTTTGTCTTTCTATTATTCTCAACTTTCTATTGATTTTACTTTTATTAGATTTTAATCAGGGATTCTATTCTGAAATGTTTTGAACCCAGAATGTAATTTAAGAAGTCAGATTTTCTAGCAGAAGAGAGAGGACAGAGGAGGCACAGGATTGAATAGGAAAAAAAAAAAAAAAAAGAAGGAAAGAAAGTATAAGGCAATTAAATAAAAGGAGAAATGAGAAAGAACTTGAATGAAGCAACTTCTAAGGATCAGAAAAGTCCTGGAATCCAGTTACAGAGGAAGGGATGGACAGTTGGCCACCTAACAGGGCATTAGCTTCCCTCACGGTGATGCTTCTACTGCTGTCCCTAGCAAAGGTTGTCAACACTTACAGGGTGCAATGCTATTCCACTAGCTTCTGGCTTAAATTCACGAACTTGGTTTCAGTCAACTATAAAGATAGCAGAAGACTGATTACCCTTGAAAACTTGAGAACAGTCACTGAGTTATCAATAAAGAGCTCAAAGAAATCACCAGACAGCATTTATGAAAACTGCACATTTATTATTTGGGAATCAAGAGAGACTACTGAATTTTAGGGAAAGTTTACTAAATGTTGTTAAAGAAGAAAAAGTTATTGCTCACAATCAAAATACTTTACCAGACCTCTGTAATGGACAGAAACTCCAAAGTACAGATGTTTTCTGAAAGAAGTCAAAGTGGATTGCTTTATCTACCTACCTATCTACCTAGGTAGATACCTACCTACCTACCTACCTATAATATTGGACAAAGGGAGTATGGAGAAAATCTAAGTGACAAATAGACTGGCAGGGCACAAAGATGCAACCAAATAGAAAAAAACTAAGTACATTCTTTGAGAATTTTTTTTAGTCCCACTAGAGAAACTAAAACCACTTCTTTCTATTAGAGGATTTAACATAAAATCCTTAAGGCGATTCCCCAGCTGTCATGCTATCCATCACACCTTCAATTAACTACTGAACTCTTTCAAATATTTTTGCTAAAATAATGAGCAACACATACTACTGCTGTGTATTTGGGACGACTAAACTGATGGTAGCAATAAACATAATTATCAGGAATAGAACAAATGGAAAAAGTCTGCACAAAAGAGAAGAAAAAGTAATATTTGAACTAATAATAGAAGATTTCAAAGGCCTAAATCATTTGCAAAGGAAAACCATTATCAGTAGAAAGTTCCATTGAAAATGTGAAGATTATTTTTGGAATTAATTCTAATTTCTAAGCTAAAGAAATATTTTGAGTTAGAAATAGAACATCATTTTTCTTAATAGAGAAAATTTAAACAAGGAAAGAAATCAAATAAGCTAATACAAAAACTATAAAATATAATATGCTATTGATTGTTTTAACTGAAATGTGTTAAGGCACTACTACAAATTTTTAGAAAGGAAAAAAGACTCATAAATGGATTTCTTTCTGTTTAGTGTTTGGTTTCTTTCTCCTAAGAGAAAATTTACTGTTGATTCTTAGGATATTTTTGAAGGTATTAAAGATTAGGGTTTAATATTTGAAATCTGACATGAGATAATTGCTTAAATACAGCTGTCATCGTCTTTCATCTGTAAAGAAAATTATTCTTTATGGGTGTGCATTGAATTAATTTGGCATTGCCTCTCTTGACGCTTTTCAAATAAATTAACAGAGTACATTGACCAAGACAATGGCTGATGGCTTCTTCAAACATTTTAAAATTATTTCTGAGTAAACTGTTCATTATGTGAATAGTATAAAGCATTGGGTAAGAGGGCGGGCTCTGAAGGCATGTCATTTTATTTCTAATGTTGACTTCACTGCTTATAACTGCAGAACACTGAGAACATTTCTTAATATCTGTTAAATGTGAGAGTAGCAGTACTTCCTTATCTATAAATGCAATGAAAACTAAATAGGATAATAAGTTTTAAGTACTGCATAATTCATTCAATGCATATGAGCTATTCTTATATTCTCCCGTAAGGTTTGCATACATGACTCAGGTTTTAACTTATTCTTCAATGTTTATTTGATATCTAGTCATAGCAGTGAATCAGAATGTCTGAGCAAATTCTCACATTTGGAGACAAAGTTGTGTAGAAAAGACACAAGTTTTAGCTATATCTAGATGTAGCATAAAATTCCAACCTGCTGAGCAGATTAATATATTTTCTATACGTTCAGTTTTCTTGTGAGTGAGACAAAAATGATTAAGCATTTTAGAGTTTTCAGGTTAAATAAGCTAACAATGAAATGGAGCTAACACAGTTTATAGTAAATGGTAAGAACTCAGTAAATGCTAGTCTCCTTCTCTGAATCTATATGGGTAGATAGATAAGTATAAACATGGATAGATGGAAGAAAGAAAGAAAGAAAGAAAGAAAGAAAGAAAGAAAGAAGAAAAAGAAGAATGGAAGGAAGGAAGGAAGGAAGGAAGGAAGGAAGGAAGGAAGGAAAGAATGAAAGGAGGGAGGAAGGAAGGCAAAAAGGAAGGAAAGAAGAAAACAAAAAAGATGATATAGATGATGGAAAGAAATAGGGAGACTGAAGATGAAAAATGGAGACAGATGAGAGAGACAGAGAGGGAGAGCTTCCCCATCTCTACTAGTTACATACAGTTTCTTGAAGGCAGACTCCAAGTCAAATTTATTTTTGAGGTTCCTGAAGAAACTAACTTTCCTCAAGTATTGAAATGATTTAATAGATATTTATTAAATACATGAACTAATACATTAATCAGTCAATCAGTCAATGAAATACTATTTTATCTAATCCTCCAAAATCATGTTTTAAAGTAGAGGTCTGTATTTCTTCTATAATTCATAGATTCATAATAACTTTCCCATATTTATTAAGAAAGATGTGTGGAAACTAGTTGTTTTCCAGGACACATTTGTATTAGCATTCTCACTCTTACACTAGCAATTATTTTATGTAGAATGTTATTTACAATATATACCAAATATATGCTCTTCTAAGAATGGCCTACTTTTTTAAGGTATTATCTTCTAATATCAAAATTGAAAAAACAGATTTTCAGTATAAATTACATCTTTAGGCATAAATAAAACCACTTCCATTTTCTATAGGGGCCTTTGCTCTTTCCCATCAAATATATTGCTCAGTTGGATGAAAATAATTTAAAGAGTTAATGTGAACAGCATATAAACTTTTCTTTGATTAACAAAGTTTCTCATGAAATATGATAATAAATGCAAACTCTTTACTTACTCTATGCAGCTTTGAAAAAAGTAGCCAATGTATTATCCATCAATCACTTTATTACACACAAAGATGAGTCTATGTTAGGTTCTGTATTCACATATCAAGATGCAAGAACCCACTACTTAAAATTTGTCTAAAAAATTCACATATTATAATATGACATAGTTAAAACCCATCAAGATCATTTAAGTCACTTTAAGTAAACATTCAAATTTGTAGGAACTATGAATATTCTATAAATATTCAATTCAATATTCAATTGTAATTCAATTCAATTACAATTCAATTACTATAAAACACAATATTGCATTGTTGGACAAAAAGTTGCTATGGTGTATATGGCAGTTATGACTTATCAAAAAAGGCTTTTTTGGAGGCCAATCTTAAAATAAATTCAGGATGTTGTATTCAGTGCAGAAATATAAATTATATTTTATTGAACATATGTATTTATTTCTGTATTGCATATATATTATTATGAACCTATGTATTTATTTCTGTATTGAATTCACATATGTGTGAATGTGTTTGTATTAAAATGAATTTTAATTTTAGATTAGAGAAATTAATAATATCTATTGACACATATGTAATATGTCAGGCTTCACTACAGGCAAAAGGTTACTTTCTATGAATTGACAATCAAGAAGTGAATTAGAAGAATAAATGACTATGTTCACAAAGTTTAAATGTAGTTTCTCCCTAAAAAACTGAAATAATAAATATTAGATATATTTAAATACTATTATACTTTGAAAACTAGTATTAACTAATGTAATACGTACTTGCAATTCTGAAACCCGATTTATACAACAGTGTTTTTCATTTTTTATAATTAGACATAAAAACCTATTCACAGTGCCTAAGTCTTATATGTCAGAGTAGCTTAATTCTCTGGGTGAATCATTAGCAAATATTTCATTGTGTTTGAAACAATAAAAGCATCAAAACTAATAAAAAGGCATATCAAATGGATAAATTGAAGGTAGACTTTTAGAAAACATTTGTATTATTAGGAAGTATTTCTTTTTTATCTCTATCAGGGTAAACAAGTACATATTTATTTGACACCCATGCACATTTAGATGTAAATCAAAAAAGGAGCCAAAATTCTGGCTTGCTGTCATTTAACTCTTGAAAAACTACTTTGAGGCTAAAATGCACATTAAAAATAAACAAACTCTGCTAAAAGCTATAAAATTCCAACCAGGTTTTCATTTTACCTAAACGTGGTGAATTTACTAAATTTGATCTTGTAAGTTAGTATATTAGAATGTGCATATCTAGCCAACATATGCCCTGCTTTCCTTGCTAATGAAACAAAAAATGGGACAGGTTGGGGAATGTCTGTAAAGCTACGAACAATCTGGTGACTTTGGTCAAGTTGTCATTTTAAGATGGTTACAGACTAATATCCATGGCCTTCCTTTTTCTGTTGTTCCTGAGGTGTTGAATAGTTGCTTTCTGTCTGGGACAAGCTCGGGATCTGCTGTTTCTTTGATATATTATCAATGGTCCGTTCCACCGTGATAAACTGCGACTCTAGTACTAATAGGTTTATAATGATTGCTTAAGCTTTACACGTCGTAAGCATTGGAAGGCTTCACTCACCTTGTTCAAGTGGTTGGCTTTTAGTTGAAGTAGTTTTCATCTTGAGTGCCTCCCTAACAGACATGTCACAGCAGGAGCCTTTGTTAGTGTCTTGGTCACTGTCAGCCTGATCACTGTCCCCGTGCCCACTGTCTCTCAGGCTGGCTCTTTCTGGGTCCTTAAACGTGGAGCTACTGAAATACATATAAAGAAAAAGAAGAGAAAGTGTTGTCTCTACGAGTTTGAATCTGAAGTGTAGTCTCTTGCAAAGCAATTTTGCCACGAATGCAAATGGGGAAGCCGAGAAAGTTATTTAATAGGCCTTACCTTTGAACAAACTGCTGCCTGCTGCCCATGTAATTGGGCTCTGCGGGAAAATTGTCTGTCTGCGAAAGAGAAGGAAAAAAATACGTATAGTTGTACACTGGACAAATCTCCTGCAGAGCAACAAGATTTCCTAGTGGAAAAATGATTAATAATTCAAAAATTCCCTTAATCTTCAGATTTGTAAATTTTAATTAAATTGGAAATTGCTGACATGTAATTATGTACTCAGAACAATTAAATGATTCCGGTCCACAAATTACCTGTTAAAGTAAACAATGAGCCTGTCATAACTGGCATTCTCTGTTCCTACCAGGATGGATAACACTGTCTGCGTTGTTTCATAACCTAGATATTAAGATTGAACATTTGTGGGAGGAGTGAAAAAATGACCTAATTTCTCCATATTAAAAGTGTGAATTATTTAATAATACTCATTTTTAAACATAATTGCATCATCTGCTGGGATTTTACGCCCTCCATGTAGCATCACTTAAAGTCATCCACTCCTCAATTAAGAGATGCAGGGCCTTTCCTTCAAATTTTGCCAATAACAATTACAAGCATGGAACATATGGTTGAACTCCTCTCTATAATTCATTCTCATCTACATTCCTATTATGGCATTGAACTCAAACGATACAGTGGAAAGGGGTATTACCGCTGGTTATCGAAAACAAAGTGAAATAAAAATAAGAAATAAAATGTCACTTAAAATATTGAGAGTAAAGACGTTGAGAAACCAGGCTTGTTTTTGTGGTTGTTTTTACTGCTTCCAAACTGATGTGGAGGTCTGCCAAAAAGAACTGAATTCTCCTTGTATCATGGAACAGAGTCTTTTGGGAGAAAGAGACTAGATCTTTCATAGATCTCCCTATACTGTACATTCATACACATCACTTCTTCTTGCAGCTGACTCAGTGACAAAGGTTCTCCTGTTTTCAGCATCACTTCATATCACACCATTGTGCCCTGAAGCAGCTATGGATTCATACAAGATCATCCAGCATGTAAGTATCAGTGACACAGGAGCATGCGATTCATGAAGAAGAGGGCCCAAGGTAAGGCTTAACGTAGTGCAATATGTGTTTCCGTATAAATAAAGCTAAATTAAACTAACAGTACTCTTTTTTCTTCCCATGAAATAATTTTAATTATGTGGCTTTTGGGAACTATTTATTATTGGGGGGAAAATGACATGTTAAGAGTAATAGCTTAAAATACTAAGTTTCACTGTCTGCTAAAAGCTTGGGGACAAGAAATAGCCTCATAAATTTGTGAATCTATAATCTTTTGTCGGTGCTCAAATGACCTTTATCAAAATGCAAAGATGAAGGTAAACAAGGTCAATGCATTTCTCACTTCTAATCTGCTTTAACTAGCATTTGGTAGCAGACATTTTTCATTAACATGTTTTATTAGTGTTTAGGTTCTGTGAAGCACATTAATTTTTGTTTCCATAATGGCAAACTATCAGTTTTTAAGGGTGACAATCTTCTAGTAAAAATAATAGCAGAAAACAACACTGGGGCAAAAATGTTTGCAACAGAATTTTGCTAAATTTTAAAACTATAATTATTTAGAAACTCCACATTTTAGCTTAATAAAATCAAGTTCCTCTTTTGAATTAGTCAAAAACATGTATGCAACCTATTATTGTTGTCGGTTACAGACTAGGCCATGAGTATCTTAGAACACTTCAGAAAAACAGAATCCTGAGTATTACAGAGAGAATAAAATATAAATCAAAGTAGAAACTCTAGTTAGAAAACATAAGTGCTATTATAAGTAACTTTGTGATTGTAATGGCTTTAGTTAGGTGAAGCATCACAGGATAGGATCCCTATTCAGTTAAACACAGGGAAACAGATAAGGAAACTTTCCTTCCCCTGTTCTACTAGGGAGAGTATCTAAAAATGTTTGCCTATTGTTAAAGTTCTAAACAGCTCTAATAAATTAAAAGACTTGAGCTAAGAAATAGAATACGTTTTCCCACCGAATGAAGAGCTATTTTTAAATTATGTGTGTGTGCATGTGCACATGTGCATATGTATGTTTGTACGATGTCTGTTTGCATGGATGCATCAGAGTGTTTGATGACCACTGAGCGATGGTGTTGCTACCAAATGTTATTTTGATGAAAATTGAAAAACGAGAAGAAGTCATAAGAGAAGGGATTTTAGAAGGGGAAGAAAGAGGAGAAAAATATAATTTCAGAGAAAGGCAAGAGAAAAGTAGAGAGGAGAAAGAGAGAAACAAAAAGATACGTATACGCAGGAGGAGGAATGACGTGGAGAGAGGTAAAAAAGAATGTAAAAAAGAAAGAAAAAGAAAGAAAGAAAGAAAGAAAGAAAGAAAGAAAGAAAGAAAGAAAGATTGGTTTATCGTTATAGAATTTCACAAAATACAATTGTTAAAAATCTGCAGCTTAATCAGTAGCAGAGTATCAGAAGTTTACTAATAGTGCCTGCATTTATCCATTAAATACGTAGAAGCCTGAAAGATTGTGTGTGTGTTTATGATTACCATAATGAAATAGCCATTTGGCCTTTAACAAACATATAACTAACTCACTATAAAAACCACACTGGTTTTAATATAGAAAATAACATTTTCATTATCCAGGCTCCAAGGGTGTCAGAAAACTCATTTAAAATAATCTGAATATAAAATAACTGTATTTGCATAGGAAAATGAAAATAGACCCAAAACAAAAGCCATATGTACCACAGCATCATTTAATTTAGAAATGGAAGGGTTTTAAGATATTTCCCGATAATGTACTCTAAAAAATTCGTTTTACCTTGCATATCTATAAATCTTAACTTTTAAGTCTAAGAAGAAGGTAAAACTTGAGGTCAGACACTTGTAGTTTTTTAGGACTCATCAGAGTTATTAAACATGAATATTTATATCTTTGAAAATTTTATCCTCTTCCATACAAATTAATCATATACACTAATGTTTTCCCTTCAAATTCAACTGGAACACAGTGACTTTTAACTATTACTTTTAAACATATAATTTGTTTATTATTTTGTAAAAGTACTCGGAATTGGTGGGTAGTTACAGAAAACTTCCAAGATAGACACGTTAAAAACTTTAGAATGTGATCATCTTTTTAATCTAGTTCAGTCTGGAATAAAAGACAGAAGTTTGGCCATTTTTTACTGATTATTTGCTCGTAAGAAAACAGATCTGAACTATCTTATAAAACTGAGTCCATTCTCCTAGTTTCATTTTTTTGTTCATTTCTTGTTTTTTTGTTTGATGAACATGAAAACTTAGTATTCATTACTTTCCTTTGTACTGAAAACACAAATAAACAAGTAATCAATTAAACTAACATACAAAGTGGATAAGTCTGCATGATATGAAGAGTTTCTTTGATTACTTGCCTTCATGCATTTCTCCAGGAGTACTCAGCAAATTGTAGTCAATTTATAAATGACATTCAAAATCAGAATTTTTATCAGGAGTACTCAATAATAAGCTATTTCTCAGGTATATCCGAAGATATATTTACATACTCTACAATTTGCTTCTTCTGTTATAACTCTAGAAAACAAATCATGAGTTAAAAAAGCATCTATGAGAAAGACCAAAAGAAGGCACCTACTGAAACTAAACCACGTTGGCTCAAATTGGGTAACTTCTTTATTTGTTGAAGTAGATTAATTTGATATGACCACTTACATATGCCTAAAGAAGTTGAATTGAAAGTGGATAGTAAAAGGAGTCAAATAGATTATTTTTTACTAGTAAATAGTAAAAATAGCAATTCTTAAAATGTATCAAGCATTTGAAATAAGTCAACATCTATGAATGATAAAAATTCTCAGCAAAGGCAGAAAGAGAGGGAAACTTCTTCAACTGTATAAAGAGCATCTACCAAAAAACAAACAAACAAAAAACATGTATAACTAATATTATATTTACCAGTGAAAGACTGAAAGTTTTCACCCTTGCTTTCACCACTTTTATTCACCATTGTGCTAAAAGACCCATTAAGTTCAACAAGGCAAGAAAAATAAATAAAAGATAAATTAAAAAGGAAGGGGAAATTTCTCAGTTACTATACTCGCAGATAATATTACTGTTTAGGCAGGAAATAAAAAGGAATTAAAAAAAAACAAATTGGAAACAAAACTTCTTAGAACCAATAAATAAGGTTGCCGTATTCAAGGTCATCACACAAAAATCAATTATATTTCAATATTCTAGCAACGAACTATTGAAAACCGAACTTTCAAAAGCAATCCATTTATCATAGTTGCCTACCAATCAAATGCTTAGAAAAAAATATTTTCAATAACAAGTACAGAATCTGTGCCCTGAAAATTACAAAAGTTGATGAAATAAATCAAAGAAGATCTAAATAAATGAAGAAATATATTGCATTTATGGAGTGGAAGACTCAGCAAGGTAAAGCTGTCAATGTTCCTCAAATAATCTATACATGTAATATAACAACATTCAGATTTACAGCATGATTCACTGTAAATACAGACAAGGATTCTAAAATTCAAAATGGAAAGCAAAGTGACTATAATAGCCAAAAAATTTTTGAAAAAGAAGAATAAAGTTGGGGGAATCACTCTATTTTAAGAGTTATTATGAAGCTGCACTAATCAAGACAGTGTAGTACTGTAGACAAAAAAGACACATAGATCAATAGAACAGAGAAGACTGTCCATAAGTAGCCCACAGAAATACGGCCAATTGATTTTTGACACAGTTTCAAAAGGCAATTTGATAGATAATTCAATAAAAATGAACCTTAAACTACACCTCTCTCCATGTCTTTCTGTGTGTGTGTGTGTGTGTGTGTGTGTGTGTGTGTGTTTTATACATATGTATGGATGTATACATATATATAATGTATGTATGTATCAAATATATGTATCAAAATGGACCACACCTCTAAATATAAATGTAAACCTGTACATTTAAGAAAACCTAGCAGAAAACCTTTGTGACTTGGCAATATGCAGAGTTCTTAGACATGATACCAAAAGCATAATCCATAGCCAAAAAAAAAAAAAAAAAAAAAAAACCATCC